TTGTCGCCCCCAAAATAACTGTCACATTTGTTGCTTGCTTCAGCAGCATCAACTGCTTCAACTGCTTTCACTTTGGCTGCCTTGAGCTGCCGCTGACGCTGCAGAAAAGCAGGTGAATCATTTTGTTGCCAAAACTTCTTTTTACTTATCTGTGCTTTTAACACTTGGACCAAGTGCTGTACAAAGCTTTTCCGCCGTTTTACTCCCGGATCATCCTGATCGGCCCTTGTAATCGCTTCTAACTCTATCCAATTCCCACTAATAGCCTCTTTGTTATTATTGTTATTGTTATTGCTGTTTACGTTGCTATTATATTCTACTAAACTTACTCGCTAGTCCATCAGAGTATTTAAACTAACATTGAAGTTTTTTTGCTTTTTTTCCTTTCTACTCTTGTCCTTCTTTATTTCTGTATAGTTTATTTTGAAATTTCCTTTTCTTCTTGAAAAGTATTTCTAGGTTTTAACAAACGACACAACCTGTACACAAAGTACGATTAAGGTATCACTGAATATTAAGCAACAAATTCTGGAAATAAAACTTTGCACAACCTATCATCAGCAGTTTTTAAAACTCTTATCGATTGAACAGTAAAACATTATGATTTAGTTAAAGTTGTTGCTTTTTTTCATTTACAGGTGTTTGTTTTTAATTTTTTAATATTACTTACTACAGTTGAGTCACAAAATTTCTATCTTCCATATATATTTAAATATACATAAACAAATAAACGTATAAGTAAATAAATAAATATATATACTGTTATTTTGCTTTTTAACGTTTATATGACTAACGAAAAGTGAACATTTTTGAAGCGAAAGAAACAAGTTTTTTTGTAAATTTTTTTTTTTCAAAGGTTTATGCGTACTGTATCTAATTTGTGTTATTTGTTGAACAGTGTTTATGTGTATACATATTCTCAACAGGACCTACAAATGTTGTTAATTATACATTTAGCAGTAATTTATTATTTCTAAGGTGATGTCCTATCTTCCAACCGTTAGCGTGAACAGTGCTGCGGCAGCTGCTAATGCCAATATGGCTGCAGCCTATCTGCAGAAAGGAGCTTACGGTACTCCACATATGCCAAGCGCTGCTGCATTCGGTTTTACAGCACCTCCGACGCATAATTTCTTACCACCGGGTATGGGATATATTGGTGGATCTTTGGCCGATTGTCAAGGTGCTGGAATGGCAGCTTGGAATGCCGGTCAAGCATCCCGGTTTGTTTAGTTATTTGTTGTTATATGTTCCATTTGTTTAGTTATCAAATTGTACTGTTCGGTTATAGTTAGTCACAACGGCGTCTTCAACGAAATCTTTTTGGTATTTTTATCATAGTTTTGTTAATTTAAACAAAATTTATTTTAAATGCTGGTGATGAGAAAAAATTAGTTATTTTAATTAGCTTTTATAAAAGTGTTAATGGTGTTCATAGCAATATAATAATAATAGTAGTAATAAAAATGATAGTAATGACAATGAAAATAACATTATAATAATAAGGGCAAATTAGGTTTTGATGCTATTGTGGTGTTCCAGAAAACAAAGGCGGGAAAGGACAACGTTTACTCGAGTGCAACTGGAAGTACTTGAAGGTTACTTTGCCAAAACCCGGTATCCTGATATTTTTATTCGTGAGGAGATCTCTGTAAAAATTCAACTTCCTGAGTCAAGAGTGCAGGTAGGTAACGTGAATTAAGTACAATTAGATTAAGACTCAAACAAACAGCTGATACAACTTGTAAATAGTATATGATGTTCATCAAGTGCTTTGCTGTATTTAACACAAAAAATTAAATTCAAGCTTGAATTTAGAAAATATTTCAAGTCAAAAATGACTTTCTTTTGACTAATGTCTCAGCAGAGATTACCGTTTAAGCTTTTTGTTTTCCTTTTTTTACTACAGTAGTTGTTTATCAGATAAGTGGGCTTGACGGACAAGGAAATAAAAGTCGAACAAAAAAACAAATAAATTTTTGGCCCTCTTTTCACTACTGATTCAAGTGCTGTCATCAACCCAAATCAAAATGTAGAGATCTAATTTAAATAAATTTTTAGAAGCGGTTGAAGTCAAGGTGAACAAGAACTTCATTCAAATATTATTATCTTCAAAACTGATGCTATAGTTATAGAAAAAAAATGGAAATTTTTGTCTAACAGCATCTGTCTGACTCAGCTCAAAGTGTTATCGTTGCTTTCAGTCCAAACTGTAGCACTGTCAATTTTTGACTATATAGCTGCTTACAATTTGAAATATTCTTATAACCTAAAAAAATAGCTTATCGACAGTTCAACCTCTCCCACGTTCTCTTTTTTTACCTCTGATTACAATACATATAGACATAACAGTTGACGATGATGTAATAAAATTACTCTTCCTTTTTTAATTCAAAAATATGCGTGTTGGATAACGTCTAATAAGCTTTTCTGTTATTAGAAGACCGGAAAAGAAGATAAGATAGTTAAAAATAAAAGAATAAATTCGATAAACAAATGTTTTCATACCTAAATAGTTTTGTGGACACTTGATGTATTTTTTGCAGTTCTGATAAAAAGATTAGTGCACAGTTAAGACGTTAAGCTTTAGTTTCAAATGGTGCAATACGAAACAGCATTATTTGTAGGTTTGGTTTAAAAATAGACGAGCGAAAGCACGGCAACAAAAAAAAGCAGCGAAACAGGAAGCTCATATAGCTGGAGCATGCGGTTCTTCTAATGCCACAAATAGTACCAATGCATCTAACGATAGCAGCAGTCCACATAATACAAGCACTGAAAGCACTCAGGTAACAGCATACAGTTTATACTGATTCTAAGGCAACACTTTCAAGCAGTCATTATTTTTAATAATCAAACTGTTGGAACTGTTTGATAATATTTATTTCTAACAACAACAGCTGTTAGTAATGGCTAAAATTTCTGTAATCTGTCTAGTTGTTGTCGATCGATTACAGGTTAAAGTTGAGGAAACATCAGAAAGCTCATTAAACGAACAGAGTAATGTTGCTTCACCAATCGACGTTGATTCAAAAGTTGGCATTTTGCCACCACCATATATCAGCGCGATCTCACCTTCTTCTGCATATGCTGCGCAGCCTGCATTTCAAGGATACGGTAGGCGGCCATCTTCTTTAATCTTAAAACCTTTTTCTTCTTTTTGCCAGCCTTCAACAAAACCTCATCGTTCCTATCTGATGAACAGATGTAGAAAATTCTTCTGCTATTTAATGCTTGAGTAGTTTTTGAAGAAGTATTCGTTGATGT